TCCTGCTGACCTTTTTGTTTTTGGTTTTATTTTTTGTTTGTTTGTTTTCCAAGGTGATGTAATTTCTTAGTTCTTTTCTGTAATCAGAAAAATGCTCCTAGATCTACTTTATAGTAAAATATTCCAAGACCTTTTGTGAAAGTAATTTACATTACGTAGAAGTATTATAATCAGCATTCCACACTACATGCTACCACAAGGTGTTTAGATGATAATCCAAAGAAACCTAAAAGCAGAACAAATATTTTCACAGCAAAACTCCTGGGATCTAACCACTGTGGCTGGGTTTTTGCCTAGTAATTTTTATGTACTGGAAGTATCAATCGTGATCCATTTGAAGTGCAGGAATGTATCCACTGGTGTACAGGCTGATCATGGCCAGCAATCTTGATTTCACAAATGTGTGCAATCACACTTGTGCCCAGTGCAAGCAGCTATGCTGCCAAAGCACACTGTGCCAGACAGTGTGGTTTTAAATATAAATGTAAATCATAGGCACAGAAAAGAACAGTAAATCCAGCATAAACTAGGAATGCTACCTTCTGTTTGCCAACCATTTTGTTTTCATTGCAGCAATGAAGAGGAAATCTCTTGAAATCTAGTTTGGGCAGTCTTTTCACTGTTATCAAACCAAGCAAGTGCAGACAGCCCCTAGTAATTCTGCAGCCCCAAATGTGCCAGCTCATGAGGAGCCCAGGCAGAGCTCAGTGCATACAGGGCTATGCTGCTTCTGATCTCTGAACTGGGCTCACTCTGCACTCATCCAGTGCAGCATTGAACCAGGCAGACATTCTCTGAGGGCTCCTGGGAACCCTCTGCCTGCTCCTCTGTGAAACTGGCTGATCTGCAAGACCCTTCAGGTTTTATATGAACACAAGAGATTTCCCATCTACATTAATGGATTTAATAGTAAAAGCATTTATCTAAGTTTTCCACTGGAGCAAGAAAAGGAAATGTTTTTTTTTTAATTTAAAATGCACAGAGACACTTCCAGACAATGAAAAATGGGCAGAATATTTTATCATTACAACGTACAAAGTCTTAGAGAAGAAATGCATGAGGCGTAGTTTCTCCATGTTAGCTAACCCAACAGGAAACTTCAGGTGTATTTGAATTTTAAAGGCATTAGGAATAGTTTACTCAAGCTCAGTCTTTTGAGCCCCAGAAAATCATATTAACTAATGCCTGTTTTTATGCCTCATCTTCTGTTTGCTTTATCCATTTTGAGATAAGAAAACTGGAACTCCGCAGAGCACGCCAGATGCAGCTGCACATTTGGCTGGCATTTCTGGCTACCACTGAGCTGGCGCCTTCCTGGTCCTGTCTATCAGAACCTCAGGATCTTGCCCCTCAGAGGCATCCGGAGATGCACCAGCACAGATCCCATCAATTTATATGTGAAACTATGACTGGTTTAACTGTGTGCATCACTTCACATTTTATCCACACTCATTTTCAAGTGCCGTTCTATTGCCCAGTTGCCCTGTGACTCTTCCATCATCCTTACTGCCTTAAATAATTTTGTGGCTTTAGTAAACTTTGTTATCTCCCTCTTCCAGGTCTCTTATGACTATGTTGTACAGCATGAGACTCAACACAGGCCTCCAAGGAACAACCCTTGAAACATACCCCTACCTGTAGAACTAACCATTTTCTCCTACTCTGTTTCCTGTCTTTCCCCATCTCTCATCCACATGAGGACCAGCCCCAGTTCCTTAGTTTTCCTGAAAGCATTTTGTGACAATTAACTTCAAGTGTGGAAAAGAAGAAAGACATGCATTTCAAGTAGATCATAGAGTATATAAAACTGACCCATGTGACACAACCACAAAAAAGGCAACTGCAATGCTCCATCGCATGAAGGTGTCTTCAGTAAAGCAGAACTAGAGGTGCATTATTTGAGCGAGATGCAGATCAGACCTTATCTGGACTAATCTACCTCATTCTGTACATCCACACTTAAAGAATGAATTCACACTGGAAGAGCAGCAGAGCAAGGTCACTGAAACCACCAGGGGAATAGAGACTATTTTATGAGAGGAAGATAAAAGTGGTTAGCTTCCTCAGCACAGCTGAATGGCGGCTGAGAAGCAATACAGTATCTCCCTATTAATGTATCAGCTTACAAGTACTACCAAGAGAAAAGAAATGCTTTAGATGAAGAATAGTATTGCCACACAAACAAATAGCTTTGATGTAGCATGAATAAATTTAGACTAGAAATTAGAAAAGGGTTTTTAAGCTTCAGAGAAGAGTTACGGAGCAGCTACCCACTTTCAACACTGGGGAAAGAACCCAGCTATGTTTAAAATGGAGCCTGATGAAGCTTGGTAACTTCATGGATGGTGCAATATCATGAGGCCATACATGACAAGCAGAAATTGATCTTGCAGACCTAGAAAGTCCCTTGCAAGCTCTAGGTTCCCAAATTTAACATATGTTTGCGCTGTACAATTAATCCATGGTATGCACCCAGACTCAGAGAAAAATGTAGAATGAGAAAGACTTAGCCAGAGGAAAGTTTGCAACAAGGTTATATTAAACTGAGAGCTCAGACTAGCATGTCTGGGTCACTCTTACAGAAGCGTTGCCAATTCACTGAATTGGCTGAGGTGCCCAAAGCATATGCTTCCTCCTAAGGTCTGCTCTGCCACTCTGGTGAGGTTGCCACATCACTTAGGTATAGCCGAGGTGATTGCGTATCTGCTCTTCAGCTGCTAACAATTACAGGAACTACAGTACTAAAGAACAGTGACAGTTTAAGACTGAGGAGAGAATATATGCTCCACTCAACCAGCAGCCGTAAGATGACGACATCTTCCAAAAGCAATGGATGAGTGATCAATGTTTGCTTGCTACTCAGGATACAGTCACTGCTTGGGAGTAATTATATTGAATAGCTTGAGCTGAAACAGTCACAGTTTGAGGCTATGGCAAGTGAGGAGGAAAAAGATCCATATTTTTTCCCCACTATGAAATTGCTTGTGTGATTTTTCCTAACAACGCCTATAATCTTAGTCATCGCTGTACAAAAGTCATTAAAAAGACCCAATACAGCCATACGTTGAAAGAGAGGAAATCACAGATCCAAGGCAGGAGATGTCTGCTTTCAGGTACTTGCGCTCTATTGCCTCCCATCTCTGCTCCTGCACCTGTTTGTAGCTTAGTACTTCCTCTTCAGGGACGTTCCCTTCTATAATCCCCCTGTAAAGTGCCTAGGACATGCTAGGCATACATAAATAATAGATAATAAAAAGTATGCTGATTTGGCTTTTTGGTGGCAACTACCACGTTCAGAAGCACTACAAGTGAAATCCTAAAATACTATTTTTGTTATGAGAAAAGGATGCTTACAAAAAGGGGACTACTTATGAAGACATTTCTGTCTTCTATCAAAGAGACTTGCTACGGGTGACTAGAATTAAACTGTCCATGTAGCATACCTGTTAACTGTATTTGTGATTATGACGACAGATAAGATTTACTGAATGCTGTATTTTCAAAGGTATAACGCAAATATCAGATAATAATCACCCATTTAAAAGCACTGACCTTTGAAAAACCAAACTCTCAGATAACCTGCCCAAATTCAGAAGCAAAGTGACACCAGTAATAAAAGGATATAACTCACATATAATCCCTTCTTGTCTATTCATAGCTTAGAGGTACCACTCAAAAAAGCTCACAGAAAAAAACATCTGTAAGACCAGTGGGATTTGCCAAATTCAATAAGATCAACGCTCCATCTAGCTCAGGGTCTTGAGACAAACCATATTCGATTGATCATACAAAGATTAAAACCCCACAAGATGCAGACAGTTGGCTTTCAGTTCTGTTCACATATGGGATTTTTTTTCCTTAAAAGTAATTTACTCTCTTATGACTTGGAGGACTTCTACAAGTTTACATAAATACACAAAACCTGCTTATCTGTTCTGATATAATTTTGAATATCATTGTCTACAAAAGTGATTATTTAAAAAAGTAATTTAAAATGCTTAAATCTTTACATTGATCTTGATGCTGTGAGTCATACAGGAAAATCATGTGTTCAGTAAAAGATTTACTCCTCCATTTGCTGTCTTTCAAGTTAGACTTTTGCTCTTACATCTTTCTAAAAAGGCTTGGTCATGACTTTTATATACATTTCAGTGGTTTGTGTCCCTCTTGGGCAAGTTTCTCTTTTGTTATTTTCTCTTCTGTCTTACCTGTGGCTAATTAATCCTGTTAGACCACTTTGTAGAGAAATACAATTGATCATTTTATTTCAGGTAAGATATATTTTCTCCCTCCATTTTTATATACCATCACACTTGGTTTTCCAGAGTCTCTAGGTAGCTTACAACAATGTCGAACTCATAACAGCCTATGTCAAACCCAGCATTGCATACGAGCATTTTACACTACTCTTTCACCCTCTATTAGCTTGGCCGTTGTGGGCACTGTGTGTTTTCTCCTTTCACCCTTCTCAGATACTGCTTTGACCAATCTAAGCAGTTCTGTATCATCACATTTGTCTCTTCATAGTTCAGTCCTCCTGTAGCTCATTCCCTCTGTTATGAAACAGTGGTCTTCTTAAGAGATCTTAAGAGATCTTTCGGGACCCTGAATTGAGCACTCAGTGCCAGAGTGCAGAGGTGCAGCAACCCTATGTTGTGATA